ATTACATTGAATGTAAAGACATGTAGTTTGTTGTTTGGTATAAAATGAGATAAATTGTTTGATACAAGTCCCGTTATTTTTCAGACAGACCCCGTATATTTATCTTGAGAGAAACAAAGATTTCAATTTTATTTTTTTTCTGTCGAACGATGATTCAAACCGTTAAAAATAAAATAAAAATTGTTCTCAACATTTAAACCCTTTTAAACATTCGATCTGTAAATTTATCTGCTAAGTTCAAAACAGTCAGACAATTTATAACATTCCGTTAGTATTGTGCGGTGTTTTTCTTTATCCTTTAAAAACTGACTCGTCACTTGCTGAATGCAAGTAACGAGACAGTTTTTCACGATTAACTCAGTTGCTTTCTGTCAAGTAACTGCACCAAGTTTCTGGGTTTAGTCTTTCATATCTGTATGAATGACTGTAAATTAAAGACCGTCGGTCATAATTGTGGTGGGAACTTACGAAACGATCACCGTCGCCTATTTAAACATTGACTTGGAATGTGAAAAAAAAACAGTTGAAAAAAGATTTAGCTTGACCATAAATTGTTTTAAAAGATTGCATTGAAATTAAAATCAGACCTATTTTGACATATTTTAATTTTTGAGACTTACAAATTAATTTTTAATATTGGCCATTGAATTTGTTAAAATAAAACTAATTGTTTTTAGTATTTTTTGTTTATTTGTTTTTGTTTGTTATCTTTTTTTTTTGTTTAACAGACAAAAACAATCGTGACATTATATAACATGAAAATTAATAACTAAATTATATATCTATTTTTTTAATCATTTCACCCCAAGCAAGGGGATAATGCCACTAGGACGCAAGGAGTTGAAAGGAATGGGGGTATTTGAAAACCTAACCGTATTAATGTTCTAAGAAGTACTAGTGAAGGTTTACCTCGCGACAAACACGAAATCATCATATCGAATGTAACCCTCTAACAGGAGTGGCTCTCGGGCATTGCACTGAATGAAATGTAGCATAAAAAACTGACAGGTTTACATGCAATTTGTGCTGCGATCATAGTGTTGAAAAACCTTAGTTAGAGTCCTGTACTTGGTTGATTTTAGCGTTACAAATTCATAGCTTCCATATTGGGCTGCCCCTCTAACTAAAGACCATACATTATCTCTCCTTACAGTTGATGTTTATCCTTTTCCTCCCGCTTCCCTATACTACCTTGTCTAGCAGTTCCTACAGTTTTTTCCTATGTCAGCCACCAAAACTATAAATCCTGGTAGGACTTCTAGTTTTCTTCGGGTCGCTTCTCTATGCAGGTTAAATATATCCGGTGAGAAAACGCATCCCTGTTTTAAACCTTTTTTTCTATTTTTTTGTGGAACTTATTATTTTTTATTAAAATTAGTAATTGTTTTAATGAACTTTCCTAGAAAGTACTAGATTGGCGGTTAGGTCTCATCATTTTTACAATTGAAATGGCTAGATGTAACCTAAAGTACTTTCCTAATAGCTTCTTCTATCGCATCTCTCGTTGGTGGAACTGTCTCCCGGTTTCTTGCTTCTTAATCAAATTTGATCTTCAAAATTTAAATTCGGTGTTAATCGTTATCTTCTGTCATCTTATTTCCTGTTATCTTATTATTCTCTCTTCTTAATAGTGTTTTATTTTCCTTATATTCCCTAACACTCAATCTGAGGGGCTTTATTGCTTTCCTTAGGGGCGAGAAAAAACTTGCTCAGTTTATTTTCTATTCGTATGCAAGCGGTTTGTTGCCAGTAAATATTCCAGGTTATTTTAACATCTTTGAAATCAAGTTTTCCGAGCAATTCAAATAAAGAGCTGTGTCGTACTTTATCAAATGCTTTTGCATTTATATATAGCTATACGTACTTCTGAATTTCTATTGTTCATTCTGTTATCATACACGCGTACAAAAATGTTTACAGATTAATATATCTAACCATATCCTTAAAAAATATAAAAACTCCATTTTTTTTTTTTTTACTTTTACGCAAAATGCAGATCAAGTCATCATGTGGTAGGTCTATTCTCTAAAATTTCAAAATGGCGTACAAGGCTGACAGCAGACACATTATGAATACCGTGTTCCTGGTAACTGTTTGCGTGCGGCGATCATCTTTTGAACTCAAAAATAACGCAAATTTTCTTTATTTATTCTTTATCCGATCGAGGAAATAGAGCTGTCGACTATTCACTTGTTCCCGGGAGTAAAATACGCAGTCTTTGTTAATAACATCGACTTTATTTCCCGTTTCGTGCTCGATAAAATAACGCATTCGTTTTTCTCACTTTTGTTTCATTAGGACGTTCTTTTTTTTTTTTTTTGGCTCTCCACATTGTCGCACATGCAATTTTATTGCTGTTTTTAATATTGCTGATAGTAATAATTTTATTACTAATCTTTTTTCTATATGCCGTCTCCCTTCAGAAAGTTGGCGCTCATGGCTCTCTATAATTTCCTGTTCTGTGTAGCTCTTAGTAACGTTTGTCTTTTTGCTATCTCTCCTAATCCCTGTTCTGCCAACCATTTACACTAACTCGTTTGGTAGTTTATCTGCAGCTTTCCTCAGTCTCTCTTGTCGTTAATATGTCCAGTCAGTGTCAATTTTTTTAAAGCAGTTTCCTCATTATATGCAACAGTCATTTCCTTTGTCTTTTTCTTAAGTATAAGTTACTTTTTCTTCATTTTCTCAAACTTTATAGCTCAGTCAATGGTATTTTCAGTATCCTTCTGTAGAAACACATGTCTCTTCATTATCTGTGATGTGATTGGTCGGCATTCATTGTCATACAATAATATAAAATTAAAATCATAAATGTTTCCATCTCCTATATGTCAGTGAATGCTGGATAATTTCCTCGCAGAGGAAGAAGAGATTTTATATGTGGTTCAACAGAAGGATGCTGAGGAGACCATGAACCGAATATGTGAGCAACGACGAAGTTTTAGAGAAAATTTTGTTAGAAATTTCGTCCTTGTCACGTAGGTGGATCAATATTACATAACAGTTCAGTACTCTTTTCTTTGTTTCTAACGAAATTTTCTTGTTTCTTTATACTTTGCTTAGCGTTCGAAAATCGCCTTTCGCTTTCTCGCATTTTCCGTGCAGTTTTATTATTACTGTTTGTATATACCCATTGAATATTGCCAGCAGTAATAACTGGTGGCCTACTTTGCAACTTAAGCGACAGAATGTCCCCATACAGTTCTTCTGATTTTATTATCTGTGTTGCAACTGTTTTCAATAATGGCGCCTTCTCAACGCTTATCTTCATTTCAAGCTTTTAGTTTTTCTCATGATCTTCGGGACCGTTCTCAGTGATCTTACAACGGGTGGCATGGCTGTCACATTACTATTGTTGTTCATGATGACGGTCGTCTTCGAGTATAGAATCCAGAGGTTAGCAGTGAATATTTCGAAGACAGTAGGAAAGCGTTTTTCAGGTTAGCAGTGGATATTTTGGTAAAAGTAGCAGAGCGTAGTTCGTCCTTCTGTTTTTCTTCGCCTGACAAGTTGGCACTGGAGATTCGGGTAGAGTGAACAAAAATGGCCGCCTTTATACACGACGGATTGAATGTTCTACGTCTTCTGATTGGTTAACCTTCTATTACTGGACTATAAAGTGAGTCAAGTCATTGGGACTGGCTCACTAGTACACAGTATACACAAAACACTGCAACAACTATACCATAGATTTTGCATTTCTTTGGCAATATCGAGATTTATCATGAGCCTTTACAACCGTTATATAATGGCTTTAGTTTCGATCTAAGCTTTCGGTTCACACGAGCCATCATCAGAGTGGTTATATGGACATTACAACAGATGTTCACCATCAAAGATGACATCGTGCTTTGTTTAAAACAAAGCAGCCCACACTCAGCAAAATTACATTTCAAACCAGTCACAACATATTACAATCCATTTAAACATATGGTTCGGTTGTTTACATTTCTTTCTCTCACGTGGTCATGTACGACGTCATGGAACCACATTTCGAATTTACGACCTTCGTCTGCTCTTCAGCGACTGTTATCGTCGCATAGCAAGCTTCTATGTAAACAAAACTGTATGTCATCTTTGACAGTGAACGTATCTGTTGTAATATCCATATAACTACACTGATGATGGCTCATCATGAGCCGAAATCTTAGATCGACGAACAGTTTAATAAATAAATATCCAAATGGTGGATAGTTTTTGTCTTTATTCTCTCTTGAAATTAAAGCCATTATACGATGCTTGGAAAGCCTCATGATAAAACATAATAGACATTTGTTGTCTTTCATATTTAACAATATATCTTTGAATAATGATCTGCTGCCCATACATATATATATATATATATATATATATATATATATATATATATATATATATATATATATTATGACAAATTGAAAAACAGTTTTGTGGCGCGTTTCACCAATTAGGATTTCACCGGAAAGAATGCAGATGAATTTGGTTAGTTTGAAAAAATATTCTTTCAAAATTATTCTTTCGAAAATTTTGAAACTACCAGTGTCTCTCGTTTCGTGCGCATGTGTAGACGTGGCAACATCAACAAAGCCCAGTCCGCTGAAATAGAAACGGATGAAATGCGTTACAAAAACGTTTTCCCAATTTGTTATACTATTTTTCTAAATATTGTTATTGATATATTAAATTATATATCGTTATATATGTACATATGTATATATGTGCGTGTGTGTGTGTGTATGTGTGTGTGTGTGTATCTGTGTGTGTGTAAAAGTCGGTATACAGAGCTGAAAAACAAAATATGCGCACAAGATGTATTGTATCTCAATAATAAACATATCAAGACCTCAGATGTTCAAACTGTTTAACCCCGACACTTACGCGCTAATCTTTACCTGCTAAAAATTTATTATTGTTTATTAAAAAATAAAAATTATAATAAAAATTATAATAAAAATTATGAAAATAAAAGTTTAAAAATGAATTCTAGTATTAAAATGAATCCTAAAACCACTATTATAATA